CTACTAAATATCACTATTTTCACAATTTTATTGGCAACTTCTTGCTTGGTTGGACCTTGAATGAAATAGAGAGCAGCTTTGTTTTTCTGTTTTTGCACAGGCAATATTATTATGGAGTATTATGCAAACGTGATCAAATACCTCTTGGGTTCAAAATGAACTTTCAGTTAGCGTGATTGCTGAGTTTTGGGCGTCATTCAGAAGTTCAAAGAGGGAAAATATGGATGTTGGGAATCTTGGATTTTCTTTTACAATTATTATCAGCAATAAATCTGATTTCCATTATGTTCACTGACTTTTACCTCTGTTCTTTCACAACGTAAGAGACATTTAGCCAAATTGTTGTTCTTACTAGGAACAACCCATGGTTAATGATTTTGTTCAGAATGCCATTTGCTGGTATTTATAGTAAATCCTTCTTTTCAGTTTCTACAAAGCGTCGCAGGAAGCAGGACCAGTGTTGCAGCCATCTGAACTCCCTCTCATCTATTAAGTACGCCATTGTTTTCCTCTACATCCTGGTTCTTCTCACCATATTTGGACTTTGCCTTGCAGGTAAGGTGTGTGTGTCAGTGGATGACTTTGACAACAATTTATGATGTTTAAGAAGCTCTTAGGAGCCTCAAAACAGACACTGAACAGTGATCTAAGAGAAATCTTTAAGTCAAAGGTTCAACTTTATCTCTTATGAAATCAGTTGAAAGCTATTAACTTCAGTTCAAGCCACTAACACTACATATTTTGATAATCTCCTTATAAAAGATATAATAAAAAGAATGACATAACGTGAGAAGAAGAGCATCATAAAAAGGTCACATTTTTCTGCCTCCGTCTCACCCTACCCTTTATATCCTGTTCTTTCACAGCAATCCTCTGAATGTCCTCTCTAACAACATCCAAACATCTTCTCTGGTGTATATAGTCTTCCTCTTCTCCTCAAGCCTGGCAACCCCACATTCATTATTCTTTGCCCAATTTATCCAATATCCCTCCTCTGCATGTGGTGACCTATTGTACAGATACTCAAGATATTGTGTTTATTTGGAAACTCTGTTCTATTGGAAAAACTGAGAGTTTTTCCTGTGGAAGTTGAGCAAATCTGCACTCCTATAACTCCTGCTGTGCTTTTGTTCTGATGTTTTGCTTGTGTGCATGCAACGAGGTGTTTATTTAAAGTGAAAACCGTTTAAATAACACAGAGAAGGCAGTTTTGTTTGTTCAGCTCGCATGAATAAGGTTTGTGACTGACTGGATATCAAATGATCTTTCAGCTGTTCTGGATCAGTTTTTCCAAATGCTTTTGCCAGCTGAATTCAACTACACTTTTGCACCAACCATTATGTTTCAAATGCAATACATCCTCATAAATGGCAAAACAGTTTGTTTGTTTGTTTGTTTGATTGCCTTCACATTTGCAAAGACAGGATCTCTGCTCTGTATAAAAACCTGCAAAAGTCAGTTTTGATACGTTTTTACATGTAAAAAAAAAAACGTGCTTTCTTTAGTCACCGAGTAATTTGTTAATTTGGGTAAAAATAGGCCATCTTATAACTTTGATGACTTAAGAAGACCAACCTTTACTATGTTTAGCTGTTCTTCTGTTTTCTTTGTTACGTGGAGTACACATCTGCTTCAGACCTTTCTGTAAAGTCAGATTTTCTTTGCATATGTTCATTATCATTATCATTGGCATCAAAGTCATAGTAATACTGGGCTTTTAATCATTTCTTGAACAGTTATTTTTCCAAAAGACATAGAATGATTGTACACCGTACATCTTTAAATATTTAAAAAAAACAAACAACATGGATTGGGTGCACAGGAATTTATTTTGGAAATCCGCAGAGGTTTAAAAGTAAAAATACAGGGTCAAGCATATATTGCCTACTAACTTTTTGTTAAATTTGCCTTAGAGAACTGCTCGACCGGATGCTTTGCTAGTCATCAGTACACTTCTGGCATTATTTTTGGGGGATATTCTGACCTTGACAAAATTGTTAGTTAATTAAAATTAGTCTGTGTGCTAGCAGACCTGTCTTTTGCATAGTCTACAAAATCTTCAGCTGTGAGATCTAGGATTTGGGAAGCCCATTCCAGAAGCTTAATGGCTATTTATTAAAAGAAACAAAGGAACGAAATTCAAGGATCATCACCACTTTGCCAGGGTCATAAAAAGACCCAATCGGTTACACTCAGATCAAAGGAAATTTCTTAGGATGCTCAGAAACGATGCAAGAACCATCAAGGCTAAACCTGCCATGAACTGTAAACTGCTGGAACACCAAACTAACTAGAATGAGTCTTTTATCACCGTAGCCGACCACGAAAGATGCCCCTGCCGTAAAATCAACATCTTAAAGCTTGACTGAAACACAATTGGCTGCTCCAACAGGACAATGAACTGACAGGACACCTATTAACAATGGTTTTGGAAAAAAATAGCTTGTAAAAGTTAGGTCCATGCCAACAAAGATCAAGTATTCAGTCAGAATTATGCCAGAAGCTTGGTGATAGCTCACAAAAGCATTTGGTCAAGTTGTAACTGGTTAAATCACATTTAAATAAATATGAATATAGAAATTTTTGTATTTAAAATGTTAGTACCAATGGCAAGGTTGCATTAGTGTTTACTTGGTGTGGCAGAGGTGGACATTTCAACAGATATGCTGTTTGCATTTAATTTGTTGCTTATAGATAATCATTTACCCATTAAATTTGATTAGTTTTCAAACACACTAAATTAGTATTACTTAGTGAGTCACTATTTTTATTGCTTTTTTTGCTTGTTTTGTTTTTTCATATTAGATGAGCAACTCCACAATCTTCCCTTTGTCACTGAAAAAGTTCTGCAGGTTGGGAACGGCTGCTGTAGATGAGACACATTTATCCTCAGTTTGTAGAAAATCTGACAGAGAGGAAGAGAAAAGTAGAGCGTAACAAAATGTGGCTGTAATGTCTTGGACACATGAAGGAAGTGATTTTATTGTCCGTCATTTACTCTCTGTCATGTAGATTTAAGGTTGAATTATAATGTAGGACACACACACACACATTACACACTTACATCATAGAAACCCATTTAGTTAGCTTTAAGTAACACTTCGGGATGCAGTCTGAAACTACTCCCTCTTAAACTGTCTGATCTCGTTAAGAACTGAGAACATGCATGCACAATATGAATGAGCAGTCATTTGAAGTACAGCCAATGTCCAACAAAGTCATGATGCTGATTTTATTGCCTCAGTTCATTTGACAAAATTAGATTTTTAGTTTGTACAAATGTTTTTGTGCCAAATATAGTATCAGTTTCTATAACATTAATGCAACTTTTTCTGTCATCTTCTAATCAGAGTTGTGAAGTCATTTTTTTCAAATGCAATATAAAGTTGACCTTTAGCCCTCTCCGGCGTCTCTGCTCCTACTGCAGAACTCGACACATGTGCGACAGGTTTAAACCTAATTCCCACATGTGACAGCTCTTCTAAAGAGATAAAGCAAGACAGTGATTTCCTTTGACCTGTATGGTTCCCATATTGCCATTAATCCACAGCTGTGCGTTTGCACAGAACTCCACTATATATATATTCTGGGTGATGATAAACAGCACCACCTTTGAACTGGAGTTTCAGCTTTTTTTATTTATGACATTGTATCCTGTTCTTAGCTGGCAACTGATGTGGTCTTCTGTGGTAAAATGTAATCTTACAGCAAACAAAGAAAGTTTAATTTTACCTCAGATGTTGCTGAATCCCATTTTCTTGAAACTGTAGGTTATTGTGCTTTTCTTGGAAGATAAACTCATGCACAAGCTCAGTGCTGTTCTGTAGCACACCGATTATCAAATTTACTTAAAACGAAGAAGTTGAAACTAGAATCCCAAACGTTTCTCTGGCAAAAGGCTCTTTCATGTTTCTTCTGATGAACAGCCAGTGACCATCATTGGTACAACATGTAGCGACGAGGAGAGATTAGTCATTCCCTTACTCACCAAAACATCCTCCAAGCTTACAAAGCTAGAATTGTCTTAAAAGCATAACATGTTTTCATGATCGGCACAACATAAGCGAAACAGAACAGTGGAAATTTGGACGTGTGAATTATGGGGGAAATTAGCATGAGCTGTTGTGACTTCATATCAGGCAGTCCTGTAATAAATTCCAGTATCTTCTGAGCTGTAGTTCCACCTCCTCCTGGTTAATTTGCAGGTGGGAAAAAAAAACCCCACTGGCATTGTGCCACAGCGGTCACATGGCCAATTCATTTGTATGTGTCCGTGAATGAGACAGCCTTTAGAGGTGTGTCTAACTTTATGGCTGTTACCTTCTGTGAACCCTGCTGTGGCCTCCTTATAAATGTCAGCTCAGCCATAACAGGAGAGGAAGATACAGACAAACAGAGACTGAAAGAAGTTGTGAGTGCAGAGAAATAAGGGGAGATAAAGTAGATAAAGAAGAAGAAGCAACAGATCAAGAAGTTTGCTGTCTGGCTCCAAGTCAGCAGGATCCTGGCGGAATCGACTGCTCACACTAATCCTAATTTCATTTCAAGGCACTGCTCTCTCTGAGCCACCCACTCATGCCGTAACCACACAACTGATGCCATTTAATGGTTGTGGCTCTGTGTGTATTCCCAGGCACAGAGATGTAGTTAAGAGTTTGGAACTGCTTTGCTGTTGTCACTGAGGTATTTAGTTATTTAAAGCTTTTAGATGAAGTTGTTTTAGAAAAGCAATCAAACCAGGCTTTTCAGACGACCTCTCCTAAATTAAATGCCGCCATCCAAAAGCTAAGTGGCTCCAGCTAAGTGTACGGGAGGCCCCTTTGCAGCACACATATGCCAAGTGCACGTACAGACACATTCAAAAATGCTGCCAGTTTTCTGTGCAGTCCACATTCTCTTGTTGCTTGAATTCTCACTTGACTTTGGCTTCTCTTTTTTTTCCAGTGCTTATGTTGCCTTCTTGGCCTTTTCCCTCTGAAACAAAAAGCCTCCACTGTCTCCTGTGCATTCAGACACATTTATATTTGATTTTCTTCCGGACTCATTATGCATTATGCCTTGTCATTGAAAACATCTGCATTATTGTCATAAGTATAATGTAGTGTCTTCTGTGTCAGCGCTTCTAATTCTAAATCTTACATTTGGACAAGTGAATGATGGAAGGGTCGTAAACAGAAACAGAGTCGAGTAAAAGCCAAATGAAAGAGGATAAAAGAGCCAGATGAATCCTGCTCCATTTATTATGTGGTGAAGAGTTGCCTCGTCAGTTTTTTACTCCTACAAGGTTCCATGCAGATAGCAGAGACCTCTGTCCCCGCAGCATGAGAGAGATGGGTCTGCCAAAATGTCCAGACTTTTAGCAGATCAGAGAAGTATGTTAGAGAAACCTTTGTCTCTCTGTAGTCACTTATTTTGACTGACATGCTTCAAGAGCAGGGTAGATTCTTGAAAGACATGCTTGCCTTTTGAGCTGAACTTGGCTAATGTGAATGTATGTCACTCTAAATGGTGCCAAGATGGGAATTGATTTTTAAGACTTTTGTTCCCAAAAGTCC